CTACGCGAAAATAACAATTGCGCAAGTGTTCTCTTCTACGGCAATTTCTTTCTTATTTCAATTGAAAAAAAAATTGCAAATGCACTACGTATAAAAAGAGAGAGACAGAAAGGGAAACAGCTGTTTTCTTCTTTACAAGGAAAAAAATATTCTGCCGAGAAACGAAGGCCAAACCGCTCTCAGAAATGCAATAGTCTTTCTCCGATGATGTTAGTGCACATTTTACATCTCTGGGTGCAAGTACAGTATTAGAAAAATAATGATTATACAACTTTTCAATGTCGTCATTATTATTATTATTATTATTATTAATATTATTATTATTATTAACGTCATCATCATCTATTTACTGAGACAAGAATTACTTGTTTTAAAAGGTTAACGATTTTTCCAGAGGGGATAAGATAAATCATTCTGTGCTTGGAGATGATAATTTTAGAATAAAATTTGCTTTAACATAACACTCACTACCAGAAATAGCGCGATTTTCTATTGAGTGTCAGAAGTAATCCGTGACTGCATTGGTTTTGCATCACTTCATTCTGTGATTGGTCCAAAAAAACTCGTGTCACTCTCTCAGCCAATTAGATGTAAACCTAAAACCAATCACGACTTAGTTGCAAGAGTTTTCCCGCGCTTTAAGTAGTTGGGCTATTGAGTTCTCATTGGCTGTTGAAAGTACTTTCCTTTTCTTTGATTGGTCGTTGCGTTTATTTTCGTTTCGGTTTAACGACACTCAATCGAAAAGCGCTCTATATCGGTTAACTTCATTTCATTAATCAGATAGTTAAAGTATATAACTTTTTAAATTAATTCATGGTATTAGTAGTCCGAAATGTGAGTAGGTTAAATAATGTTAACTGTTAGGATCACACCTTTAATAATTAGTTATCAATGAATAAAATAAACAATGAATCTACCTACCCGATGGTTCCCATGTGGATTTGAGGCCTCAAATTTATCACATTTTTTGAAAAGAGACTGGTTCGAGTCCTTCTGATTAAATAATATCATGTTCACTCAAAAAGTTATTTTTCTTTTGTTTTAATGGTTTAGGTCCCATAGGGGGGTTAACATTAATGTTGAAAACTTTGCCGGTTACAATTTGAAACTCCAGTTTTTTGAACGACTAGAAACGATAAGAATTTTTAAAAGAGTATTTTTAAATACTAGCCACAGTAGTTTTTAACAAAGGTAAATGATGGAATTTCTTCATTTCATGCGCAATAATTGACTTTCAGGGTCTAAAACTGAATAAATGTCATCCCATACCGGGTATGTTTATTTGCTGGTATAACTTTCAAAGATTCCTGGAACTTATTAATTTTTTCCGAAGCCGAATATGATAAAAGATCAAAAACATTTTGAGCAAGAAAAAAGGAGAAAAGTTTCTTTTTCTTTCTTTCCAGTCCCAATGATTTCTCTACCAGAGAGAGACAGTTAGGTCCGTGAAAAGAAAAGTCCGTAAAAGATAGGTCCTCAAAATTATAGGGCCGTAAATAAGGCCCCTTGAAAAGTCCTCAGCCACATGAGATCCTTCAGGTACTTACCTTCAGCAGTAAAACAGATAAGAGACTGCGTCTTGCCTTCTCGTTTTTTGGTACTCCTAGATCTTTTGGCAAAAGGTCCCCTCTCTCCTGTCACAGGGGCTGCTTGGAGCGAAAGGGAACGACTCGTGATGGCATGGGGGTTGCCGCTCTTCTGTGGCTGAAGTGGTTTGATGCCAGAAATACTGTCACGGGAGCTGTCTCGCCGTAATGCCTCTCTTAGAATCATTTCTGAGCCTCGTCTTTGATTCAGAGGATTGATTTCAGCTACGAGTGAGTCTAGGAATGTTAGAGGAGAGTATTTAGTTTTTTTTTTTGTTTTATTGTTTTATTTTTAATAGCAACCATTTTCGGACACTGGGTTGGTAAAGTCTGTACTCGAACCCAGTAGTGGCCCATACAGCCGGATCTTACCCGGTTTCCATAGCATGAAGCGACTAGGAGTATCACTACTCCCTTCCCCTCCCCCCACCCTGAATAGGATGCATTCTATCCTAAGGTTACCCCCCAACATTTCATCAGGCTTCGTCGTTGGACCCTAACATTACCACTAATCAAAACTATAACAAAATTCTCGAACGTGATTGGTTATCACCAGCCCGTTTTGAGAACTAATACGACGAAAAAGTACAAGCGATGTCTAGTTTCTTTCTCAAATTTTGTCGTACCTTTTATTACCTGGTAACAGGAATTCGAGTCGTCCGATTCCGTTTGAAATAATACTCGCGATTAACAAATCTGACTCCCGCTTCGCGGTCGTCCGATTCTGCTAATCACTCGTATAATTACAGACCGAATTGGACTCCTTTTAGTCCTTTAACCATCAATAATCACCCCATGCCACAAAGCTAAAATGAGGTCTTCTAGAAGTGCTACCTGTAACTACGAACCAACTAAGCCAAGCACAAATGAGGTAATTTATTAACAGCTATTAACCGTTTACACCCTAACATCAGTATTCATTTTCTTCATACTGTTCTCTATACATTTCCTAAGCTGCTGAAGAGGAGAATTTGTTTACCGATCAAAAGCTTCTTTTGTGGGTGATCATTTCCTTTATTCTCATGACCTAAATGTGTGACTCAGGGGTGATATTGTACAGAGAGATTAGATGCTTGTCACTCTTATGAGTTCAAGGGTTAAACAGGATGTGTCTTCCGCGTATAATATGTTCTTGAAATATCGGGAAAAATATATATTCAAACTATTTACTGAACATCAAGCGTTTTGGGATGCAATGTTAACCTAAAAGTCATTCATGTTGCCTTATCACCAGTCTTCTTTAGCGTTCTAGAGGTCATGATATTACTGAGAAACACTTAGAGGAAATGCAGTTTACAGGAAAAAAAAAACTTCCTGGTTCGCAAATGCCCTTTAAGACAACAACAACATTCTTTATTTAACGAAGGTGACGTAATTAACCCAATGAGTTATCTAACTTACGGCCTTCACAGCAGTACAAATACATATATAAAATAATGACTTATCTGCAATACGACTTACTACGAGAGAAACTAAAACTAGAAATTGTATGGCAGGTAATTTAATGTTAACAACTGGGTTGAAAACGTAAATTAGCCACCGTAAAGGGTAAAAAAGCTGACGTTTCGAGCGTTAGCCCTTCGTCAGAGCGACTAGACTAGAAATTGTATGGTTTAACACAGATATGATATGATTGCAATTGCCTCCTAATAAAGTTACAATAAAGAGAAAAACGACAATAATAACAACCATTATCATCGTAAACATTTGCCAATCACACCAACTTATTACAATCCCCTTACTTTGACAATTCAAAAACATTTTTACAAAACATTACACTCACCACTCGTGCAATTTCTTTTTATTGACTTTTTCTCTGCTTTTATTGATATTGACTTCCTTGTCTCTCTTCCTGGTGCAGACTTCGCTTTTGCGTTTTCAGTTGCCTTTCCACCATCTTCTACCACAGCTTCGGATCCTGCCGCATCCTTGAAGTAATTAAAATATTACTGATTAGTAAACCACTTTAATCTCCAGTTTAATAAAGAGATCGTTATAATAAAGTTACATTCACGATTGATGCAGTGCAAGGTTCTTATTCAAGATTTTACATGTGTGAGAGCTAGCCGTTGAAGGCCAGCAAATCCCTCTGGTCAGTTCTACTGAGCTGGTTTCTTCTGTCGTCAAATCAAGATGAGTCTAAGAATACAATAGAGATCGAGGAAAAATTTCTAGACTCAACACCACCTTCTTCAAACTTAAGTGACAACCCTGCTAAAATAACTGAGTTTGCCTTCAGCTTTTGTTCTCAAAATTATTTCACAAAGCTTACACAAAAAACCGTTTTACCTAAAACCGCGCTCTTTTTACAATTGCATGGACCTTCACGACTTTGTCATCTTTCCCACAAACAGCAAAATGGAATACTCCTGCCCAAAGCTTATCCTGGAAAAGCTTGACCCGGTCGTTTCCAATTTAAGAGTATTCCATATTTCAAACCCCTACCTCTTCCATTTCCTCATCGTCTAACAAAGATTGTAACTGTTGCTGTCTTTTCTCTTCTTGATGATATGCAATGGGGTCACACAACGCATTTGCAAAATCTGTGGAAAAAATTGCTCATCTATTGGTTAACAGCATCTACTTAAATAGCTTCGAACAAGCGATTCTGTTATCAGAGGCTGAAGCAAAAGTACCACAATTTCGTGCTATCAACAAAGCCTACTACAACCATAAAAAAGTTACCACTCCTTTCCATGCAATGTTTGAGTGTAAAGCGCAATGTTTAGGCTAGGATAGTCAACTGAAATGTCATAAACTTGTTCCTTCTGCACCAACTGTCTTACATACAACAACGTTCTTTTATAGGAATATAAATTTTTTTCGTCTCATCGCGAGCTTGGAAGAAAGCCAAAATATAATTTTCCAGTAAGGAATCGAATCCCTTTCGCGCTCAGATGCTTTTCCACTGAACTGCAGAGAACTCTAACGTGAGATACGCCGTTCATGTGACACAGCGGTCGAACGTCTGCGTATGTGCGAACGTTGTAATGACTTGGTAGAGTGCTTTCGACCTGTCAGAACCAAGTTGTTTCACATTGTTCCTACTTTCGTTACCTACTACAGATTTCTATTACAGTTTCAATTTTTCTTTTGCTTTTTTGAGTAAACAGTGGTTGTTTCTTAAGTTTTCCTTTGAAATTTTGCGCGGGAAATTGTCACGCAGCGGAGCAGAAAGTAATTAGGAATTAAGAACATACCTTCAAATCCAGATGGAACATAGTCCTTTGTAACAATGTGCACGAATAATGTGGGGAGACAAAGAGGTTGATTAGATTCATTACGTAGCTTAATATGACGATAACCTGTCAATCAAAAATATAAGATGTTTTCCTGTTAGGATAGAACAATGAACATTTCCGACAAAGTTTTTTATTAACTAGTTTTGCTGTCTACATTCTTAACTGCAACCAGTGTCTTCTCTTCATAAGGATTCTAAACATCATCACCGACTGTCGTCAAACCATGACCATAGCGATCGTAACAGTCAATCAAAACAAGGAAAATATCACGGGGAGCCAATGAGAACTCGAAGTGAAAACAAGCCAACTCCCTGAAGCGCGGGAAAACGGGAGTGAAACATTGCGATAGGTTTTAGTTTAATCTGATTGGTTGAGAAAGTGGCGCAAGTTTCCGAACTAATCACAGAGCGAAGTAAAGCAAAATCCAAACAATCCCGGATTATTTCGACACGAATTGAAAATTGCTGTATTACTTGACTCTTCACATTTAGAGGAATATTTTCGGTTCACAGAGATTGAAATATAATAATTTTATTCAAGGATCAATTTACTCAGAAATTCACCTGGACTAAGACCCACTACTGGAAGTATTCTTTGGCCGATGAGTCTACCGCTTTCTTCATATAATGCTATTCTTAAAACCGCAAGACTGGGTAGAACAACCTGAAAGATAAACAAAGAGTGAACCACTTTGCCGTTGGGACTTTCCAAAAGGGAAGAATAACACTTTTAACTCTTTAACTCCCAAGATCTGATTGTTAATTCTCCTCTCTAGCTGATACACATTTCCTTGTAAATTGGTTACGAGAATTTGGTGTTCAAGCAAGGTAATATCCAGTACCTGATGAGTTTGAGTATTCCCACGATTTGTTTGCTGGATAATGTATGAATATTATAGGGAGAAGTTACATGTTAATCACCTCTGGGAGTTAAAAAGTTAACAAATAGATTCCATGTTACCGTGAATCTGTTCGGTTAAAGATCACAGATGACGTCAAATTTGGATAAAAACAAGAAGGTGACACTTGAGGCGCAGCCGATTGTATCACTGAAAAGAGAGTCCCCTATACTTTTACGTGAAGCATGATTGGGCGACTTTTTACCTCGTGAATCGTGATTTGATTTTTTCCTCATTTGTGAATCGTGATTAAAGATATTAAGATCTTTTTGTGTCCACGTGAACTGAATTTTTAACTTAAACGTGACTCGTGAATGGAAAACTGAATTAAACGTGATCCGTGAACCGTTTTGTTTTGCGTGATGAATTCCCGGCTTTTTAATGAGTTGAAACGTATTGTTCTCGAACGGTTGTGGTTAAGTTTTGACCAGGGTTTTGACAGGACGTGAACTTCATATAAATCGATAAAAGTCATAAACAAGATAGCTAATGGTCCTCGAACAAATAAGATAAGACATCATGTCATCACTTGTCGCATCAGACTGGTCAAGACTAGGAATGGTAAAAATTAAATTCGTGAATTTGGTTTCTTATTTTTATGCGAAGGTCTCAAATTTCGCGTGAACATGAAAGAATTTTTGATATAATTCGCGATGCGTGAAAAGCCAAATTATTTTAAGTAACTGAATTTTACAAAGGGATGTAAGGCACCCTCAGAAAACCTAACGAAAATAATTTACCTTCTTAAACACAAAAGGTTCTTCATCATAAACTGGGTTGATAGTGTTATTTGGCACTATCTTAGTCTTGTACTTTCTTCTGACAGTGTCCGCTGGTAAGCCATACATATCTACTTCAACATATGTGCCAACTTTCTTTTCTGTGAGCCACTGCCCAGAGATAACCTGAAATGAAAGAAAAAAAACGCGAGTCTGATTCAGAATCATATGCCATTCGCAGTCTTTTTCAAGCACATAGGTCAGATGCCCCCATTGCCTCTCAATCTTTTAGTGACAAAAAGCCAAATTCACTGCTATGGTACCAGAACAGCCAGTGATTGTTGATCGAATTTGCGTCGTACAAGTTCTAAACAATTTACAATTCTCTACAAAGGTTCTAAAATTTGGAACTCTCTTTCTGCTTCAGC